GTTCATTGTTCTCAGTACCTCTCAACTGCATTAACGAAAGCATTAGAGTTGAGCTTTAGAGCTGGTATAGGCAGGCCACGATTGTATTTTGGGCTTTATCACAAAAACACTGAACATCTAAGTTTATTTTTGTTTATATCTTTCTTTTTTTAAAATAAATTTTAGATAAATAGTCCGTTGAAAATTACATTGAGTTAAAAAAAATTACATTAAAAGCCAAGTAACATATGCCATGGTTAGTTAAAACTTACATTTGCTAAAATTTTGTATAATTTAGTTTAATTTTACTAGCACATGTCTGCAATTCATGCAGCTTACAGTCAGTCATCTTGGGGGGTGGTTACATGTACATATTACAGCTTGTTTGTTTTTTACTAATCCCTCCTCTTTCTTGTTTTTTTTTTCCTAATCCCCTTCCCTCCTCGTTGATGTTTACCCTTTCCTCATTCAAAACAGGTTCCACACTGACAAAGAGAGATTTTCCTTCCGGGGAAATCTGTCCTGCACTGTTGGTCCTGCCTGTGGGGTGAGAAGGGAGAGCTCTTGTGTGAGGAGTGAGGAGGCAGTGCTGCCCTCAGGGAGTGATAATTGCTCTGGGCTGGAAGTTGAGAGGACTTATCCAGTGGTGGCCCGGGAGGCACACCAGGCCAAAGGAACGACATTCATTTGGAAGCAGCAAGTCATAATTAGGTTATTACCCAAGAGTATAGCCATGAATAAAACAACTGCGACCCTTACTTTGGTGGAGTTGATATTCCAGCAGGGGAGACAAACTCATAAGGGTGTTGAAGGAGAACTACAAGAGGGCAAAGGGCGCAGAATAGGACCTGTAGAGGCGAGCCGTTGATGGAGTTAAGGTTGTGAGTGTGTGTTTTGAGGAACTCTGAAAATTGGCTCTGGGGACAGTCCCTGCCCTGACGCATCCTGCCTTAAAGAAATGTAGGTAACTCTGGGTTCAAGCGAATCAAATAATGTATTAGGAGATTCTTTGAGGAGCCATCACTAGGATGTTGTCAGGTGCATTTCCAAAGGACACGTTCAGGGAGGAGCTGGACTAGAGTGTGAGGACCCCGTGGGGTGCGAGGTGGGGGAGAATGGAGACCAGGCCTGTAAGTCCTGATGAATCGTAGGGGTCCCAGCCAGGCCGAGAGCCAGAATGCAGGAGACACTTCCCATGGGGGAAAGTTTCTTTTGCATCACTGTGGAAGCAGTTTTGAGTGAGGAAGGGGTAAATCCAGAAGCTTTTCAATAAGAAAGATAATGCAGGCCTGGCCGGTGGAGAGGAACAGGTGTGTTGTAAAGACATGTGAAGGTAGAAGTGACTCACTCAGGTAACTGCGTTGAGAAACTATAAAGCGTGGGTCAGGAGAGTTCCTGGCCTGGAACACTGTAACCAAGGAAAGTGCGTCTGCAGAGGTGGAAACTTGGCACTGATCTGCCCCTCAGTGCCGAGCGAGGCCGCAAAGCTGAGCTGAGTGTGTGAGAAGCAGGAGCAAAGGATTGTGTAAGCGGTCCTGACTCAGCATCCCTGCCACGTTTTCCTTCCCTCTGATATGAGGGAAGATTAGAAATGAAGAGGGAGAATAGGGTGATCTGGTTTGGGAAGGTGGAGCTTTTAAGGAAGAAGCAAGGTTGAGAGTCTGACCTTCAGGAGAGGCCCACGAGCTGCCTGTCTGATTGGTACGTTCAGCCTATCTGGCTGCGGGTCAGTGCTCACCAGGCAAGTGAGGCTGCATCCTGCTTCCGGGATTCACCTGAACCTCCTTGGCAGGCACTGAAGCAGACAGAGAGAAGTTGCACCTGACAGGAAATACCAGCGCATTAGGGGAGAGAATGAAATGTGGCTGCAAATTATGAAACATTATTTTTATATATCCATGTACATATACGTGTCCATACAGTTTATATGAATGTGTTTACTTACTGTTGTGTGCTTATGGTGTTTTCTGCCAGCATTGTCCAACCTATCATATCTGTTCATCAACTGGCTGTGACATAGTAGCTCAAATCTTTGGTTCATCAAGTCAGAAAAATAATCAACCTTTTGTTCTTTATTCCTCAATTGCAAGGATATCTTGGTTAGACTTAATTAGAACTCTGTTACAGAAAAAAGTGAATCATCTTAAGGGTGAAGTAGTAGATGAAGTATAATTACTGCTTTTACATACTTAATGCAGGGCTGGGGATATAGCTCAGCGGCTCCAGCGCCAGACTATAAAAAACAAGATCATGAATTCGATTCCCAGTACCAAAAAAAAAAAAAGATACAAACTTAATGCAGATATGATAAGCTTATAAGCTGGACTGGAACAATAAATGGATTGTTACACTTGACATTTTGTATTTTAGTCATGAAATACTAAAATATTTGAATATTAAACACTAGAAGTCATACTGCCATTTGACCAATACTGTATTCTCACAGAAATTTTTTCTTTAATAACTATTATCAAGTTAGTATTTGATATGATTGTGTAGATTGTTTGATTATACTCTTTGAAAGCAGAATCAGGAAACTTCTAGCCCCGACATTAAAGTTGGCCGTTAATTCTGTTTCCTCTGACCTTTGGAGAACATTCTCTGGAATTGTGCTATATGCAAGAAGAAATAGAGTGTGTGCTTTGGCTCTGTCCGGATTTGTATTTTGTATTGTAATTTTAAAAGCATATGTTTCTTTTTATTCCTCTGAAAGAAAGCAAGATCATTAAGTTGTATGTAATTTTTAAATTATTTTTCAGTTCTCTTTGCCCCTCCACTAGACCGGCATCCCTATTTTAACAAGATATATTTCTTTATCTTTGAAAGGAAGATAATATCTTCAGAAATGCCTATTTGTTGTGAAGTCTCCTTTCTCTTAGATTTCTCATTGGCTTTTTTTTGGTCTTTTGTATATCTTTCTTTTTCATGCCCTCCCCCTCAGGCCTAAATTTGTCTGTGTTGGAGAGTTTTTCTAGTCAAGGGGAGAAACTGACTGACTTTGTTCTCATCATACCTCACGAATGTACAGAATCTGTCACTCACCTCAAATAGGCTGTGACATGATTGGTAAAGTCATTTTAAGGAGAAATGGTTGAATGATTTATAGGTTTCCAAGCAAATTTCAAATTAAAATTCTTCCTAGAATGGTAAATCAAAAGGGAAAGGAGCTATGGAAGAGCCAGCTCTGGAAATAGGGTAGAAGTGTGGCAGAGATCATTGTGTGCTAATATAAGTTTAATTTTTTAGATGAACTTAATATTTTCAAAAATTTGCCTTTTTCATATTCTGTGGCTTATGTGACAGTTTTCCTTAATAACTTTTTAAACGTGTGTATATCACCCTACTAAATATTCGTTAATGACTCTTTATGTCCCATAATAACCTGTTTTCCAAACATTTATATTACATTATATGCATACAGTGTTACATATTTACTTTGCAAGGAAGATACTTACATGTCTATTTTATCTATACAGAGCAAGAAATTTACATACATAGAATAAGATGGTGGATTCAAAACAATAAGATTGTTTTGTTTTTAAATAAAAGGAAGTTATATGCCACATGGTTGCTTTATTTCTGTGAATTCATCTTCTCTTCGAGCTATATATGGTATTATTTAAATCTTAAATTTATGTTTGACATCTTTGGTTCTTCAAAATTCTGTTTCGTAAATATTAATGTTTTTGTTGATGTTAGCAATAATTATTCACAAGTTCATCTCAATACAATTTGAGTGTCTTTATGGAAAAGCACCAGAGTATGAATGCCACGTGTTAGCAGTACCTCAGAAAATAATTATCATTCATCTTAAATCCATTTCTCCCCCTGCCCCAATAATACAAGAAAAACGGATGAAATAGACAAGCAGGACCGTGGCTTCTGTGATTAGGTGGCATTCACACAGATCTTTCACATGGGATTTAATAAAGGGTAACATGTAAAATCTCTAGGACAATCTCTAGGACAATCAGAGAAAAGGAGTCTTTTAAGGACATCCTTGTCAGCACTGCACGATGCCCTTTCTGCAACTGTAATTGTCTACTGTGTCTGTCAAAAGATGTAAAGTTATATTCAATAATAAGGTTCAATAATAAGGCTACCAGGAATTTGAGACTTCGTGTTTATTTCTTTTTATGACAGGAAGGTCAGCGTTTAAAAAAGAGGTAGACATTAACATTTCTCCACGGTTACGTTTCCCTTCATTTTATTGTATTTGATAAATAGTCCAACTATGCATTTTATTTATTTGGAAGTCAGGGAAGGCAATGCAACTTTACAAATTTCAACTGGCATTGCACTTTGCTGATAAGGATGGGCAGCTGAACCACTCCAAAAAGATTACATGAAGTAGAATTGGAAAGCAAATTGTATTTACAAAAGATAGGATGATGTTCCTAATAGGTGTTCAGAATAGACTATCCTCTCTCACGTTCTGCTGAGCTTTACTACAAATAACTTCATTTTTGAAAGGACAAATCTGATTGAAGCTGAAAGCATTCCCTCTCCACAGACACTCATCCAAAGGGTTTATGTTAAATTCTCCTGATGGGCACACAGCGGTATTTTCTGCTGGATCTATAGAAACAAGTAATGTGGAAAATAGAAATCTAAATAGTATACTTGCTTGCTTCATGCACCAACCATCAGATTGGTAGATTTTTATCTACAAATTGTGGGAGAGATGCTGCAGTATGATATCGTGACAATAACTGTCAAAATCATAGGACAGGGATCTATTTTCATCTTGTTGTCAGGGTAAAGTTATTAAAATTCACAGACAGTAGGTCAGAAAGATCACCTATATCACTCGTCACTTGTAGTTTAATGCTGACCTAAATAGCTACCATATAATGTCAAAATTATCACAGTGTGCGGAATGCAGAAGTACAGCACGCTGCATAATATATTGTGTTTCTTGTCTAGAATGAAGATTATGAAAAGGCCAACAAGTGTGAGCTACATTGGTTCAGAAGAAACTTAATTTCTATTCTTTTCTCTTTTTTTCCTCATCATTTTAGATTTTGGATTTAATAAAGGGGACACATTACCAGGTAGCCTGTCAGAAGTACTTTGAGATAATACATAATGTAAGTACACTTTTTATCTTCATAGCCTAATTCTTTGTCGGTTGTGTTATTTTGTGTTTCATTCAAGGTTTTTAGTGGCAGCATTAAAAACATGAGTTTTCAGCACAAAGGAATATATTACATGCTATTCGGAAACTTACAAAATTTATAAAAGGGCCAGAGAACTAAGCATGGATGCTATAGAACCAAGAACATTGTAACTGGGGAAGCTACATCATGAAATGAATCTTACCCTAGTGCAAATAATACCACTGCCCTATATGCAGGGACAAGACAAGGATCAGGACACTTCCTGTAAGGAGCCATTTTGTAAAATTTTAGGCTTTGTGATCCATGTGGTCGCTGTCACAGATACTCAGCTGTGCTGTTGTAGTGCAGAAGCAGCTGTAGAGAGTGCGTATTATCAGTGAACAGGTATGGCTGTGGGAGAGCTTTGTCTGTGAAAATAGGCAGTGGGCCCAGTCTGAGTCATTGTCCGTAGTTCGCCAACTCCTGGACTGGGTTAACTCTGGATCTTTTGTCATAACTGCCCAGGAGAACCAAAGGCTTTCTCCATCCTCCGTGTGGAAAATCTGATCCTTCTGCTTGTGATAGCCCCATTGTGTTCCTCCAATGTACTTCCCAGGTCCACGTAGGCTACATGGGGGCCCTAAGCAGCCAGACTCAGAGAGGTGTGGTGGTTTTTATGCGGCCAGCCTCCTTAATACAGAAAGGCCTACTGGGTAACTGGAGTGAGTGCTGAGTGACTCAGCGAGTCAGAGTCTAAAATGTGCAAAACCAGGGCCAAAAGTTTGGAGACCTACAGAGAACAAGCAGATCACCCAAAAGGGTAAGGCTGGCAGAGACTCGAAGCAGATAGTATGGTAGGAACCATGGTGCCCTGAAGAATTTATGTCCATTCGAGGCGTTAACATGGACAAACTTGCAGGCTCCACAAGCAAACAGAACATAGCTGCACACCACATTCTGCCAGCTGCCCCTAATTCAAAACCCCCTGATCCTGAGTGAATTCCCACATCCAAGAATGGGCTTTTGGGGTCCATTATCTCTTAAAACATTTGCTTCTGAACACATAGGTGCATTTTTATGGAATCTATGATATTTATCTGGTTCATTGGGTCTGTGATTGACTTCCTTATTAGCTAAGTTTTAAAACTTTTCATATTTTCTATTAAGTGGTCACAAAACAGACTTCCCTATTCTGGTTTACATAATTATAGAATTTCTTACTTGGTAAAGAGTTCATAGAAAAACTATCTTCTATAACATTGGCAGTAATTATTAACATAATAATATTAATAATAATAGCACGCAACATCTGTAGAACTCCTTAAGGCGTGCCCTCTATAGCACTAAGTTATTTGAACACATTAGCTCCCTAATCCACACTGCAACTAAATGCTATTTATAATCCCACTTATGAAGAAAACCTGGAGAAGCTAAGCACCTGTGCTTGGTCATGCTGCTAATTGGGAAGGAGCTTGGATCCGAACCCAGGCTAAGTCATCTGTCACTCGTGAGCCTGACCATGACTGCACTCCTCCATGACATCTGCTACTGTATTTGTAAGGACTGCTGAGACGATGTGCATCTCCCTGTCTTGAATCAGAGAGTGGTGAGCGTGGATGAATGAGAGGTCATCTGATTCAGCCTCATTTGTGTACAGAGAGATGGGGCTTTGAAACTGCCAGTGCCATGCCCAGCCTACGTCAGTGGTCTCCCGCGGGAGACCTGGGCAGGAGCCTGGTCGTTGTGGGACCACTCTCCTTCTCCTGCATCTAGCTTGTGAAAATGCTATTCTTATTTAAAAATACATTTTTACAAATTTAAAAGATTAAACATCAAAAATTACTACAGTAAACAATAACAAAATCTCTTTGGTTTTGCCAGAATACGAATTGTAAGATACGCCACATGTGTTTGGCATTTCAGCCCTGGTTTGTATGACTCACTCCCTCAAAGACTACATTTTGTAATTTGCTTGCTCAGCTTGAGAGTTTTAATTTCTTATATGTCTTCAAATATATGTGGGTTCTTTTAATTAAGAGGTCTCAGAACTCTCAAAAATTGAGGCCTGTTGTCCAATCTCTTTTTTTAAAAAAGAATATCTGGCTTAAATATTGAATTTGTGACATAAGCACTAAAAAATAAGGAGTGATGCTTTTAATTCTTAAAATTTGCCTTGGAGTCTCTCTCCTATTGATTATTCCCCCAAGAATATTGCTACTATTGCCAATTTTTAAAACTTGCCTTAGATTCATGAAGATATTGAAAAGACATATATCTAAATCCTTTCACATGCAGAAGTACTCAAACTTAAACGGAACATAAATCAATGAAATAAAAAGGCCGTTTGTATTCACTAGATCGCCCAGTATAGATTTTTAGATGTGACTCTCCTTCCATTTATTATTTTTTTCTAATTTAGTTTAAAAACAGAACTTGTTTTTATTGTCACATTTTTGCCATCCTTTCCCCCTCCCTAATAAAACCCTAGGTTTATTTTCCCGAGGCCTCTGTGATCAAATTCATTTAAATGAAAGTTTTGAAAATGAACCAGTTAATTGATACCATTTGCAAGAGCACAATGATAGTTCCATATGGCTTTTTTTGTAATACCAGCTGCCTCATTATAAGCTGTCACTGCAAAGCCTCTTGATTAAAGCCCAAATATCCCATAGGTAAAACAATATTGCTTCCATTCCTTCAGAATCTGCATTTGCTGTGACAGAAATATGAGACCTGTGTTTGTGTGAAGGTCATTGTGTGCAGAATGTGTTGATTCTGAGCAAATGTTTGAGAGATATTCATTTAGGAGATGTCAGAAGCTAGCCTGCTTGAAACCAGCTCTCCTTAGTAGTTTCAGGGAGCATTGTTTACATAATCCCGTAGTACAGTGCTACTTTTTTGTTGTTTAAGGTATTCATGAAAACACTAGTTCTTGAGTAGACTGATTTCTGAACTTTAATTGAAAATATTTTCTTTAGAAATAAATCTCTTTGGACATTGAGCTAATCTGGACACTATTTTCCAAATAACTGAGCATATTTTTCCCCCCTGTCATGAAGTTTTACAGAAATCTTATTAGAATCTATTGTATATCCTAAGCAGGGTGTGTGAAATACATGTAAGCCTTTTTATATTAACTCAGGGGTCATCATTGTAGGTATCATATAGGATTCTGGGTGAGAGGCCGCTGTCACCTCTCACTTGGAACATGGGAACAGCTCCCTAACTCATTCCCCAGACTCCACATGTGCCCCATTCCAGCTTCCCCTCCTCCACACAGCTGCTAGAGTGATTTTGTGAGGTACTAGGGATTGAACCCAAGGCCTCATACATGCTAGGGCAGCAGTTTACCAACAGTTTACACCCCAGCCTTGGAATAATCTCTAAAATAAAGGAATTTGATAATTTTATTCCCCACTTTAAAAAACCGTCCCTGGCTTCCCAGTTCTTTAAAGATGAATTCCAGAGTTCATAGGGATGAAATCCAATCCCATTGCATAGATCGTGTTAGACTCTTTATAGTCCTTGGGGGTCTTCCAAGTTTATGTGTGCTGTAGCTTTCATCGTGAATGTGCCCCCAAGGCCCATGTGCTGAATTCTTGGCCCCTGTGTGAGGTACTGTTGGAAGGTGGTAGAACCTTTAAGAAGCAGAGCCTAGTGGAAGGAAGCTAGGCCATTGGTGGCGTGCCTTAAAGGGACAGGTGTCTGTCTGTCTCTTCTCCCCACTGCTTCCCAGCTGCCATCTTGGGAGCAGCTTTGTGAACCACACCCTTGCACTATGATGTACTGCCTTACCACAGGCCAGAGCACCAGAATCAACTGTGGACCAAAACCTCGGAAGCTGTGAACCAAAGTAAACCTTTCCTCCCTGTAAGCTGTCTATCTGGTGCTGACTAACTAAAGATGGCAGAGTGAAAGTGCACCACAGAATTTCCTTCTCTCAATAAAATGTTCAAAACATAATCAGAAATCACTAGCCAGAAAGAACATCATAGGAGCCACCAAGCAAGGAAGGGGCAAGGGTCAGAAGAATCACAGAACAAATCCTGAAAATGTTTGCCCAGTACACACTGTTCCAAATCAGTAAGGGAACAATAGAATGTTTCTATCGTTTTTCTGAGGAAAACAAAAAAGAAAAAAAATATTTCTTTTTTAACAGAACTAAGTGAAATATGGGGCATTAGGATGAGGACACCTCTCCGTCTTCATTTTCATAATTTGATTTTAAAGTAAGATGTATTTTCATTGTCTTTAGTTTATGCTACTCCTCCTCCAACCCCTAAAGTTTATTTTCCTGAGCAAAATAAAAGGAAAAAGAATGCCAACCACATATACTTCCTTCAAAAATAAAGTGAGAGAAAGAAATCCCCAAAAGACAAATCCAGACAGAAGAAAATGCAATTCAATAAAAAGAAGGAAATTGTAATTTCATCATGTTATAAAGCTACTCAATAAACTGCAACAAACTTAACAGTATCAGTTAACAAGAGAAAGGGCCTACCTAAAAGAGAAAGTCTAGAAACATAACATCACACAGAGCCACGGGGCAAGCTTTCATTCCAAGGCCCTTGGTACTGTTTTAAGTGTTTGACAAAACATTAAGTAAAATGGGGATTCATGAAAATAAGCACACTCCTCAAAATTATTATAAAGGTAGGATGTTTGCATGTCTTCACTTGCCTCTCTTTTGCTGTAAAAGCAAGGCCTGTTGAGTATAGTTTTGTTAATGAAATTCAATTTCATCTTGGTTTTATATTCATAATATATTAGCAACACTTTTTAGTTTGGGTTTCCTTAAAGTGAGAAGGAAACAGTGATAAGGATAATACAAGATCTTTTTTCTTATCCATCTGAGAATTCAACTTTTTAAAATTTCTTGCCTGTCTTGACTCTTTCTGAAAACTTAATTTACATTTCATGGAACCAACAACTTTTTAACTTTCATATTCTTTTGGCTTTCTCCATAGCAACTCTGTGACATGGAACTATTATCATCTCCATTTCATAGATTAAGAAAAGGAGTCTTATAAAAATTACTGTATTTCATTTTGTCCACCCTGAAGTCTAATAATTCATTTTAATATGAAGAGTTATCTTTGATGATAGGTGATTTAAAAAATTAAACAACTTGAGTCTAGGTATACAAGAACACCCTCAATATGTTATTATTGCACCAGGCATTAAATTCTTTTTGTGGGAAATAATACAGCTGTGTTTTTAAAAAGAAAAAACTTTCCTTTTAAGCACATACCACTGTCAGTTTATTTGACTTTGCACAAAACCTCAACACAGACTTCAGAGCAATTTAAATGATCTCAGAAGGCTAGGATTTTATTTTTGGTCTTTGTTTTTTACTATTTTCTTTTCTTTTCTTTTTTTTTTGGTACTGGGAATCGAACTCAGGACCTCACGCTTGCCAGGCAGGTGCTGCACCACTGAGCTATATCCACAGCCCAAGGCTAGGCTTTTAATTCAGATATCAAGGTATTAGTTCTATGGATGAGTAAACCATAGCATCTGTCACAGTTTGTAGAGGTTTCAGTCCATAATTGGTTGGCTCTGAGGCAGGGTGGTATGGCAGAGGAGAACAGTTCATGATGAGCAGAAGGCAGCAAAGCAACAAGAGATGACAACAGTCCTTTCTGTCCAGGCTACTTAGGATTACTTACACACTTAATCCTAGTGCCCTTGCTCCTACATTGCACCATTAATCAATCCCAGTGTCATGCACTCTAGATCCAGCCACCTCTGAAAAAGCTCCACCTATGATTGCATGAGGCTTTGAAAAGAGATTTAGACACAGACATAACATTGTGCCCTTACCCATCAAAGACTCTTGCACATCCCTTTATGTAGATGGCATTTAGTCCATCTGCAAGAGTTGCCAAGGTGTTAGCAGGTTCAGCATTGCTCAAAAGTCTAAGTCCCAAGTCTCCTGAGATTTAAGGCAAACTCTTAGCTGTGAGCCTCTGTACAAGTGAAAAGGAAGTTAAATGCTTCCAACATTCAATGGCACAAGATAGTCATTACCATTCCAAATGATACAAAGAGGAGATACAAAGGAATCAGACTAAAGCAAGTCCAAAATCCAACAGGGCAGACATTAAGTCCTGTAGTTCTATGTGCAGCATCCCAGGCAATCTGTGGCAAGATGTGAACTCCAAAGGGTTTGGGTTGCTCTGCCCCTCAGCACTTTGGTAGATGTAGCTCCCATGCCTTCTCTCTTAGACGTGCTCTGCTCCCTCCACAGCTTCCCTTTGATGATCCACATTCCTGGCTTCACTAAACTTCTGGTGTCTCCACTATACCTTCAGTTTCACACCCTGCCTGGCCTCCCAAGGTTTCTTAATGTATAAATAGAGGAGGTTCAGTGTAAAGCATCTCCAGGGTCTTTCTGGTCTCTAATTGATTTACAAACTGTAAATCCTTCGATTGAAATATGCTAGGCAATCGAATTTTCATGAAACTATGCAAATGCAGCATTATATTTGATCTCCCCATTTTAATGAATTGGGTGAAATAAAGAAATTCACAAATGACTCCATTGCTAATAAAAATTATAGTGGTGTCATAAGACAGGAAATATTTTGAAATTGAGCAGCAAATTTTAAGAAAGGAAAGCAAAGATAAGCTTTTCTTAGTGATCTGGGCAATAATTCTTAACATAAGCCTGTATGCTATCGGTCTGTGGTACATTGAAGTCACTGTAAAATTTCTGGCCCAACATTCCTTAACACCCCGCTAAAGAGAATCAGGGAATCCTGGGGTGTCCACATACAACCAGGAAGACAGCTTATTTCTGTCTGGTGGTCCACCCATCAGGTGGGATCACTGTGAACTCTAACGTCCTTCCCCCGACACTCCATCTTATCCCAGCATAAGATTATACACAGCTCTACCCACACTGCTTTACTTCCTGAGGAGTGTTAGTGAGTGCTTGCACCCAGAGAGCCAGTCTGCACTACTTACCCTGCTTTTCTGGGCTCTCCCATGCCTGGCTCCTGTCAGTCTTTCCCCTCACTTCTCATTACTTCCTTTTACACCAGGCCACGTGAATATCTCTTCCCCAGTGCATCCCTCCCCGCTGCTCGCGTGGTCTTGGTGCTTGTCCCTTTCCCAGAGTTTTGCCCTCCCCATCTTTCCAGCATACCCATCATGTCCTCAGAAGTCCTCTTGCTCTCCCCAGCTAGTTTTTCTTTGCTGTAGGGTGCAGGTCACTTTTACCCGTGACCCTTACCTTTTCCCTATTTCTAAGTATATGACTTACTAGGCAAAGAGATTCTTTAGCGTTATTTGAATGTTTTCTTACATACTGAAAAACTGCTACTGCATAACCAGGTCTTACCCATAATAGTTCTTCAGTTAATATGGGAAATGCATGACTGGTGGACACTGGCTAGTTCAGGGCTCAATTTCCCAGATAGTTTTTAGATACCTACTGTGTGCTAGTCACTTCAAAATAAAGAGATGTAAAAAACTGGTACATACAAAAGAGATGAGCAAATGGAGTGTAATGTGTTTTAGTTTCCAAAAAAAATATCCACCATCTAAGAGGAAAACAAAGTAACTCATTTAAGCAAAGTGGTATTTTGTTATCAAGTCCAAGTGCAGAGGCTGAGAAGCAAGTCTTGGAGTCAGGCAGGGTGTTACATTGGGTCAGCTCAGCCTAACCCAAGGTTAAATGTGAAGAAGCAACTTAAAAGATTCACATTTCATGGGGCCAGGGATATAGCTCAGCCACACAAGTGCCTGCCTAGCAAGCACAAGGTCCTGAGTTCGATTGCTGGTACCAAAAAAAAAAAAAAAAAAAAAAACAAAAAAAAAAAAAAAAAAAAGACTCACACTTCAGAGAAAGTTCCTTTTGTTGTCTTGTTCTTATGTCTCACCCCTGTAAAAGTCAGCAGGATTCACAGAAGATTTTAAGTTTTAAGGAAAAAGTACAATATGTGAGCACAACAGACTTGGCCTTGGCACAAGGACAGGCTCTGGAACACACTGGTTGTGAGCGTGGGGTCTGCGAGGGCCTGTCCTATCTCCAGCCTGCTGGTGTGTGATCTTGGGCAAGTACTTCAAACTGTCTTTCGCAGATGCCTCTCCTGAAAAAAATGAAATATTGATCCTACCTTCATAGGGTTGTTGTGAGAATTAAAGGCATAAATGTTTATAGGTAGGAGAATGTGTGTGTGTGTGTGTGTGTGTGTGTGTGTGTTTATGCCACGTAAGACAATGTTTGACACAGAATATCCATTACTTAGTATTTGGATTAAGAAATACATTTTTGCTTACCACTAGTAAATTTTAGAACCAAACTGTGGAAATAGCACTTGCTGTCTTTGAGAATCGGAAGTATTCATGCTCTCAGAAATTCTCATTGGGTGTAAAAGGCACAAAGTAATGAGTAATATGAGATGATACTCAAAATTAAATATTAGTGATAGTATTTGAGAAAAGTAGCATAAAACCATTATTAACATTTTTCCATTAGACCACAGTGAAAATTTTAAAAGATTTTCTATAAAAAGATGAAGGAATGCCAAAGATTAGAATGACGAAATTACATAAATTAGGTTGTTTTTATCCAGAGTTTGTATTATACAAAATGAGATTACCTATGCCAGACTTACAAATAAGCTCTAAAATATGAGTGGTACTAGGGATCAGTATATAAATGATTAAAAGCAGTTTTGAGATCATGTATTTTTAAATGATTTATTGGCCTACAGTAGGCTTACTTACTTGGAGCTGGAGATATAATGAGTTACGTAGTTCCTTGTCTGTCAGTAACATTCGTTGTGGAACGTATAACACCCAGCAGTTTCCCACACTTCTCCTGTTTTTGGTGGTGCTAGGTATCAAACCCAGAGCCTTGTATATACGGTACTAGGCAAATGCGCCACCACTGAGCCACACCACCAGCCCTACCAAACACATTTACTTTGAAACAGTCATCAAGAAGAATTGGTAGTAGCTTAGATGCTGTCAGAATGAGGTCACATGATACGGTGCAAGTTGGGGGTTGGGATGATAGAGAGGTGTTGGTGTGCTGCACAGAATGGATGCTCACACCAGCCACTGTAGCAGGGAGCGGAGAGGACAGGCTGGGTGTGCAGTTTGAGCCTCCTTGAGTGGAGTGTTGGGTAGGGTTTGGATAGGGAACCAGAGCTAGGTGGGGAAGAGGGACCGTGTGCACAGCTTCGGACTAGGTGTAGAAATGTGGTGGCCGTTAATGTTTGAGGAGTGGTTGAAGCTGCCTCTGAATGCAGGGGTAAGCAGTGGATTGACTGTTATGAAAGAAGACAGCTAGTATCCACGCTGCAGACAATAAGTGAGCTTTGAATGAGGAGTGGGGCAGTTCGGGTAGCCCTTTAGTTATACCTTTATTGTATATTAATGTGATACACATTTGTTTCCCTGTACAGGTAGATGATTGTGGCTTTTCTTTGAATCATCCCAATCAGTTCTTTGTTGAGAGCCAACGGATCCTGAATGGTGGTAAAGACATCAAAAAGGAATCTAGCCAACTGGAAACTCCTCAAGCCAAACCAAGTGTCCCAAAAACCAAGGATGTATCATCTGCTCTGGCCTCTTTAAATTCCTCCCTGGAAATGGACATGGAGGGACTGGAAGAGTACTTTAGCGAGTAATATCGGACAGCTTAGGAACCTTCTCCCCACTACCCATCACTTCCTACTTTTAAGATTTTTCCTTTTTTTGTTTGTTTGTTTTTGTTTGACTTCTCTTTCTGCCCTAACTCAGTCCATGTACACACATACACATGAGTCGTACTTTAGGACTGGTTAAAGTCCCCAGAAAAGGTAAAGTCCCCCAGTTCAGCTAAAGAGAACTTTTAACTCTTATCATTCTGTAATGTTGACCCTTTCCCTTTTCTGGACCATTTTGGCTAACAAATACCAAAATGTATATATTTATGTTTCTGTGTCCTTGGGAGTCTTACAACAGATTGAACATTACTGCAGTATTTAAAATGTCTAATACCACTACCAACTACCACTGATGATCTTGAACTTTTGTTTTGAGTCCGCTTATCTGTGGTTATTCTATATCAGCAAGGAGCATTTTGGACCATTAGATGGTAACAAACTCTACTGAAATGAATCGTGACTTGAGAATGAGGAGAAACAATTTGCGTAGCCAGTTGCAGTAAGGCCTGGGGATATTAGATACTTCCTGGAGCAAGTAACTCTGATGTGTTTTCTCCCAGCATGGAACTTTCATACCTTACAATGTGTGTGAATTGCCAAATAGGTTGGGCAAATTCACTGAGATCAGTAGTGAGTACTCTGGTATGGACAGTAACCCTCCTCTCCTTGCTAGCTCTGAGAGGTCAGCTGTGCAGGGCAAGGCCTGACGCTGTGTGCACTGCGCTGTGATGGCCTTACCTGGCTGCAGTCCTGCCCAGCATCTCCACTCACTCACTATAGAAGTAACTCTTCCTTAGAATTACCTTGGATTATGTGAAAAATTTTAGTCCTTTCAGGTACGGAGAGATACTTTTCCTTTATTCTCTTGAGTTAGGTGCTAAGTTGAAAAGTGGGTATGATAGTCAGAAAACTGAATTGTTAAGAGCACTGCATTGTTTAATCTTGTGATAATATGAAAGGGATTCACATAAGACCAAGTCACCAGAACGTAAAAGTATCAGCTAATTGGGGTTTTATTTTAAGCTCTCAGTCAAAGATTTCTTGAGATATTTAGTAGCATGTAATTAAATGAGATACTATCTGAATGAATTATTATTACCTAGTTTAGAAAATAGCTTTATTCCACTGCAGATTACCTCTTTAAATCTCTCCCTTCTGAAACCATCTGCTACTCTTTCATCATTTATAGTTCTCAATAGGAATCTGATGATTGCCTACCACTTTACCCAGGAACTGCAAAACCTTCAGTCTTTTTAAATTTAATAATATGAACAAGTGCTACGTGGAGCTGTTTCTACCACAGAATTAAGCTAGCTTTAGAGCACTAAGCATAGAAATGTAGATCTCTGTTGTATTAAAGGAAGGGAAATATTAGAAGCAGTAGCACCGCTGTAGTTAAATGAGAAGTCTTAGGACAGGATGTTTCCTAGCTTTTTCTGCTGCTTTGTGTTCTCCTGTTATGAAGCCTAGGCCCTACCAGCTAGAATAGAAGCATTAACAGCATGGTAGATGTATTGTAGTGGACTATTTATTTTATACCGGCAGCCCCAAGAAATTGTGTCAACCTGCTTCAGTGTTTTATATGTGTCTAGTCAAGCTTCAGAATGACACCTATTTAAATATTAGTTGTATTTACAAGTTCAATCTCTTAGTAATAAGGTTTGATATCCTGTTATATATTACACAGAAGAATATAAACATTTTGTGAAGTCTACAGATTAGAGGATAAGGGTTAGAGGCTCATACAAGAAGATAGAAATTAATGCTTTTCTGGTGCTTTTTGAACTTAGAAAAGGCAATTTATTTTTCATGCTTCACCACTCCTGACAATCTTGATTTGTTTTCTTTGAAAGCCGACCTGTTCGAATCAAATGATCTAGGAAGAACCCAAAAGAAAAAAGCCAGCATCCTCTTCAAAACAGCAGCCAATGAAAAAAGATATAGAGTTTCCAGATCTTTTAACTTGTAGCCCTTTATTAGCTCTTCAAGGAAAAGAGGCTGTATGATAATCAAAAACAGAAAGAAACAGCAGAGGGCAAAGAGTAGGTTGGAAATCTGTAGCTGGTTGAAGCAGTGTCGCTCGCAGTGGAGATTCTGTTGTATCCCTTTCATGTTTTCCATGGTGTCTCTGGTGCTCATGGTGCTCTGTCCATACAGCACAAAACCCTTGATTTGCCATGTGCATAATGGAACACTAGAGAGTTTAAATCATCTTTTTAGGACTTCTTAAAATATTACAGAGTCATAAAGTGAATAGTTAATGGATTTTGAATGTGCTAGGAATGGAAGAAAGCACCCAGAAAAATCTTTAATTCATATAGAATGATAATAACCTGAGGGATTTCTTCTCTCTCTCAAAGCACGCAGGGTGTTTTGCTTGCTGCACTTTGCTGTCTGATACTCAACATCTTTGCAAACAAACTTCAGTAATTCTTTGCAAAGAAGAAAAGAAAACTTCTGAGATTTAAGCTTGAAAGGCAAAATGAGACAACTCTAAAGTTCTGGTTTGGTTAGAGTCTACTGTTTGCAAATTTAATCAGCGGCTTCCAGAGGCATCAGCTTGACATTAAATTTAAGTGCCCATTAAAGTGAGAGTTTGACAGCAGTTCTGAATGTGAAGCTCAGTCTGAGGACATCTTTACAGCTGGAAGGGAAAAAAAGTCAAGAAGCCTCAAACCACTGTGGTAATTAGATCCATTTGTTAACTTCTTTTCTAATGTTGGCTAAGGAAGTGGCAGGAAAGGTTGACAGGCTGGAACCAGGAAGGCAGTCCGTCCAGTGCTCCCTGGAGGGACTTGGACGGGCACACGGGCTTAGGTTGCAGAGAGCAGTAAATAACCCCGCTGACAAGTGACAGATGGAGTTCAGGACCAGTGCTGTATTTAGTTGCTTCCTTTTCAGCAGCCTGAGCAGCAGTGTATGGGGTTACACTCAGAACAGGTGTGCTGGTTTGCTTGCATGCCCTTGGAAAGTGGTACTTGGGAGTCGGACCTTCGGTGGTACACTGCTGGCCCCAACAGTTAGACTTTCTCACAAGGCTGTCTAGGTTGCATTCAGGTAATTACTTATTTACCCAAAGCATCTGGCCTTCTCTCAGTTCCTTTTTGACAGGCTTTGCCCCAGCCTACAGCTGCTCGCTAAGATTGGCATTGTAGGCAATTAGCTTTGTGACTCTGTGGAAATCATGTCACCTGTAGGAAATTATCTTCCTGTTTCATCTGACTCTCCTACCAACAGGTAACCTATTTTCTGTTATTACATTTGCTTCTATTCTGTAAGCTCTTTTTATTCACTGCATCATGACATGTAGACTCTTAGCAAAGGCTAAAGAATATGTCTCTATGTGAAGCTCGTGTATTTCCCCTGAGCTTGGCAGGACTGTTTTTGAACATCAGTGACATGGTAGTGAAACAACACTACTATTGTAATAAATGCCCTGCGTTGCTAGGTATTCATTCTCTATAATACAACTATAAGGCTCTTTAAGGTTTGATTTTGCTTTAGTTTGCTCTGAGAGTGTAGAAAATGTAAATTCAACAAGTAATGCATTTATGATTCTTTGTAATAAGAGAACTCACCATCTCAAGCAGACTTTTCTGACCACCACCCTTTCAGTATATTTATTTAAATTTTACCTTCTGTGTGGGTCATAGAAGATACCAAAATTAATACTGGTTCTAAAGGCCATGAGGATACGTATTTCTCTTTAATCTTCCCCTTTTTTGAATTGAATTGTGACTTCTCTTTCGCCCTCAGCTCTTGCTGTTCCATACAGCTCCTTCCTGGTCATCTTCTCCCTTCTGGCCTCCCTGAGTGAGCTTACCTGTTCCTGTGCCATTGCTCCTATTCATATGCAAACCATCATCAATGCTGTGACTCTGTCTCCACAGCTGAAGTTTCTGGATCATATCCACTTTTGTAGATCATATCACGTCCAACCACCCCTTGGGCCTCTTCGCTAGGGTGTCCCACATCCACTGCGCATTCCCAGTGCCCAAAATCCAGCCTGTCCTTTTTCTTCGTGTCCCCTTCCCTACTTCTTACTTGTTGTCCTTGAAGAAACCCCAGTTTCCCTTGACGTATCTCTTACCATCACCACTATCCAAGTTCACCTGGTTTTGTATTATTATCAGCATGTCTAAACCAGTGTGTCTCAACTGAGGGTAATTTTGCCCTGCCGGGGACATTTGGCACTGTCTAGAGACATTTTGGTTTGTCACAACTGGAGAGGCAGCTAGGGGATGGAGGCCAAAAAAGCTGCTTAATACTGTGAGACAACTCTCTACAACAAATGTCTGGCTCACAGTGCTGGCGAGGCAGAGATGAGCGTCCCTGTGCTGAGCATTTTCCTCTCCCCTCTCTCTGGTGCCACATGGGGTTATTCTTTTATCACTATGAGTCACCTAGTCTCCATTTGTCTTCCCTAGGCCCCATCCCACACTCTCCCTCAAACAAAACCAAAGTACTTTTTCCCACCTAATGTTTATACTCACACCACTCTCCATACATGGAAGTCCTGGGCCTGTTACGCTGTGTGCATGGCCCTCCATATTGGCTCTTGCCTGCCGCTCCAGTTCCGTCTTGCCATTGACCTCAGTCTAACGCTGTACCATGACAGCCGTTCCAAGAGAGATCAAGCTTTCTGAAACATCACAGGCTCCCTGCATCTGTTCTCCTGTTGCTAGAAACACTGTTTTTGGCCTTGCTCCATGCTTTCTGCTTTCTCTGACAGCCCCAGTATGGGTACGGTGTCCCTTCTAGGACACCTAACAAATATTGTAGATATTATCTTATAAAATCAGTCCTTCTCATTTCTCCTTTAAGTTGTGTATGTCAGTATTTTGTCCCAGTTGTGCAAAACTGACCAATAAGAGGGATAAAATGGATTCTTGCCCCAGACCAGAGCCACTGATTGCTCTGTAACCTTGGTTACGTTCCTGAGTTTTCTCATGCCCCATTTGCTTGGCTTGTGAAGAGGAAATGTTATTCACCGCATTATTCTATTAGGTAATGTTCCATCCACTGCACTTGGAATACTGTCTGGCACATGGAAATAGTTACAGAATGTTAGATGTTGCTATTGGTAATAAACTTTCCCGCAAATGTTGCACCTCGACCTCCCCTGTTGGGGCCCTGTCTGTGGTGATTCTCACATGCACACTGCACTGTGCCAGACAGGGGAAAAGCCCAGCAACAACATTAGCAAAAATCCTGATGTTGGTGAATCCATCTTCAGCTGCTGCGCCTTTGACACTGTCGTGGCCAGGCAGAGTAGATGGGGAACTGGGTACTGAAGCAAGGGTTTCCATGTATGCATCCAAGCTATAAACAGTTACTGAAATAGTGTCACAGAGTAGTGCTTGTCCTGGAAAGGGAAGAACTGAGCACACTGAGCCTCAGCATGTAGAAAGCAAGTTAAATTTTTTCTTAGGGCTGTGATACACCAGTAGACTCTCATATGATTCCAAGTGAGAGCACAGACTACATAGGACCTTATTTCCAGCACCTGCATAATACTTTTAAGTGGATCATATCACGTGATACCCTGGCACTTGTAGAAGTTGGTAAGAATAGTATTTGCGTTTTTCTCTGAAAAAGATAGTGGGGTACTGAGAGTTTAAGTTCCCTGACCTACTGCAGGGGCTCTGGCCAGGCTAGGCTCTGTGATTCCCCGGTCCGTACACTTCCTTCTCCTCTTACTGTGGTCTGAAGGTTAGCCTCCTCTGACAAGCAGCCCAGACAGGGTCCTCAGTAAGACCAGTTCTGTTTTATTGTCTTTGGCAAATTTATTCACCTTCTTGGTTTAGTTTCTTTATCTGTAAATTGGGATATTACCTACTTCAGAGAATTAGTGTGAGGTCAAATGAAATAGCAAGTATCAGATACCTTATACACAGTCTGATACATCATAAGTGCTAAATACCTTAGCTACTATTATAGGAGAATTGTACTCAATTAATTTGAAGGCCTTATCCAAATAAAATTTGGAAACTACAATAAATATAATATTTATATATTAAAGGGCAAGGGGTAGGCTTTAGTTTTCCTCTAGAATAAAAATTTCAGACTCCTTAGTCCTTCAGATAAAAAAACAAACAAGCAAACAAACTATAGAGTAAGAATTACAAGACGTTTCTATTACCACACTTCCTAGCTGGCTTCCTTAGTATCATGGAAGAATCTAGAAAGTGCAGAGCCGGAACTGACCTACAAAGTCAGGGAAACTGTATGCCTTGCCCACTGGTTTCTCAGGTGATGTGTGGTTTGCATCACATTGCTGTGTTCAGGGAAGCTCAATATCGCTCTCTTCCCATGGCGTCTTCCCTAACTATCTCAGTGCAGCCACCCTGCAGAACGCAGCAGCCTGTCTCCCGTAAGAAGTGGCCTGGTGGTTAGTCATGGAGACCACAGAGAGAAACGATTGGGTTTCCCTTTTGGTGTGTCACACGCCCCCTTTGCTATTATGGTTGATAGTTGTGTTGAGAGGCTAGAAATCTGGGCCCATACTCAGCCTCTTGGCACTACATACCACTTCTTTCCATATCCCTCTTCCTTAATAACTGGATCTGCCCATCAGGAGGTGAACAGCAGGGTAATACATAACCAGATTTCAGGTCTAAAATGCATCAGGGCAGAAGGAATACAGAATGCTCCAGGGTGACTTTATCCTTACTGAGAAAAACCAGCCTATTTCAAAAGGTGTTAGGACAATAAAGTTGTGAGATGGACTATCTGCAGACTTCTGCCACTCAAACTAGGAGTATAGCGCCCACTCCAAATCCATTTGCGTAGTCTCCTTTTCAAACTTAGCAACAGGTTCTGTAAAGTGTGCTAATTCAATCTCTATATGAGTTCAGTAAGTATTTTTAAGTTTGTGGACTCCGCTGTCTCTTAAAACTACTCAACTCTGTTCTTGTAGTAAAAAACAAGCACAAACAGAGGATGTGCCTAGATTTGTCTTAAAATGCAGCAGATTTGGCTTGTTTGGGCAGTAGTCTGTCAACTCCTGTCCTGGTAGCAAGATCAAAATGTTTGAAGGATTCAAATGGCCAAAAGTGACTCACAAATAGCACTTGAATATCCCTCAATTAAAAACAAAATGTGTAATTTGAAGCCTTCCCACAAGGGGATCCAGGTGGCTTCACTGAAAACTATCCAATATTTTTGAAAATGCCAGTTCTACACAAACTAGTTCAAAAACTAAAGGACAGAATGCTTTGCAACACATGTGAGCTTAGCATTGCCCCAACTAAAAGCAAAGCCAGACAATCACAAGAAAACTACAAACCAATATCTCTCAAGGACCTAGAGACACCAAACCTTACAAAAATGCTAGCAATTGATATCAAGTAATACACAAAAGGAACAGTACATAATGAACAAGGGGGCTTATTGCAGGATTTATAAGCCCAGTTCAATACCCAATAGTCAGTGCATTTTACTATTGAAAAGAGGGAGAGGCAAGACAAAACTCAGTAGTCCAAGCAGGTTTATTAGCAAACCTGACAGGGTTCTTGCTGATCTGGCAGGCAGAAGTGCACTCTTACTGACTTCTAATGGGAGACTTCTGGGAGATTTAGGAGGGGACTTTTGATTCCCTTTTTTGGTAATCTGGCTGTTTCACCCAGGAAATTGAAGGTTAAATAAACCGACTAGATTTCCTGAAATGGTGGGCTTTGTTAGAGCTGGTGCTGCTCCTGCCCAATTTCCATCATCCCAGGCTCTAAAGGAATATAGGGAAGTGGGCTGCTGTATCCAGTCTGGCTGCTTCCTGCTGATCAGGTGTGTAAGGGGATTCTCAGAGCCGCACTGACTGAAGCACACCTGCTGTCTTGAGAAGTTTTGCCCTGGAGATGGCCACCATGCATTCCTGAAAACAGTCTTTGTAATAAATTGATTATAAAAGAGAAATAATAAAGTTAGGACAGCAGTAATGAGAGGTGTCAGAAGAGGGAGCAGCCAGTGGAGAAGGAGAGACAGGATGCTTTGTCAGCCAGTGTCTAGGAATTTTGAGGCTTGGTCTTTGAGCCTCTTGGCTCTGTCTCTAACTATCCCCACTCAGGAACATGGTGCTGTGGGGCTCTCTTCTCAAAGCAAAGTCTCACTCTTCCAACGCTGAGGCTACAAAGGCTGGAGCTGTGCTGGGTCTCAAGTTGTCCTCAGGTCATTTTATTTCTATTGTCTTCTGCTGAAGTACTTGGCTTTTTCTTGCTAGTCTTTTCAGTGACCAATTTCTCCTCTATTCCATTTTTGCAGGCCACAACTTTACTAGAGCTTTCTTTCTGGACTAACTTACAATTTTTTTGAATCATCCTGCTGGGCTATTTGCTTTTAATTTTCAACATAAATCTGGCTAAAAGCCCCCAACAGTAGCCATGCCACTACCTCAACATTAGATTACTTTAAAATTCCTTCTGCAAGATTGATGAGTCCACCACCCTCAAGCTCAGTGTGAGGCAAAGTCTCTGCAAGCATAATGCAGACAAACTTTCTGCCAAGGTATAGCATACATCATCTGCAGCCCAACAAGCGATGCAGTCCTTCTTCCTAGCAGAAAACTTCCAAGCCTGGTCTTTTTGGAAAGATTTATATTAGCCTTCTGGTCTTCTGAGCTCTGATCAGAATTTCCTCAAGTACCACCTGAGGTGTTCTAGCTCTGTTTTTTCAGCCAGCATCTTGGAACCTTTCCAGACTCTTTCCAGAAGCCAGTCCCAAAGACTCCATGTGGTCAGGTATAGTCTCAGCAGCCTTGAGTAGCACAGCAACTACCCCACTTCTCTGGTACCAAATTCTGTTTTAGTTACTTTCTCATTGCTGAGACAAAATGTCCAACACCTTAAGTTAAAGGGAGAAAAGTTTATTTAGCTCATAGTTTGTAGAGGTTTCAGTCCATAATCAGCTGGCTCCAAGGCAGGGTGGTATGGCAGACAGGTATTGCAGAGGAGAAACAGTTCATGGTGGGCAGAAGGTAGCAAAGCAAGCAAGGGGCCTTAGCAAGTTCTTTCTGCCCCCTTTATACTATATCTGGGGTAATGGGTTTAGGATGGTGCCAAATCAGTCAGTGGACTGATTTAGCATCCACACACCCTTAATTCCAGCATCATACACTGTAGATTTTGCCACCTCTGAAAAAGCCCCCCCTATGACTGTAGGCTCTGGATGGAACCTGCATTGTGGTACCAGTTCCCACCCATCATTCTCCTCCCTTAACTCCAGGCAGCAACACAGAGAATCAGTGTCTGCTTGGGGAAGAAGGGCAATGTGGGTATAAATTGATGGTCTGCAGGCCAGACTTCCCTGAGTGAGGCCCAGGCTAAAACAGAACCGCACAGAGCCTGACTGCAGGCTGGCGACCATAGACAAGGAGTCTGGGCCTACTTTGGCCCCAGGAAGAGGCTAATGGGGATGGACTATCCTTTTTAGTCACTTTCTCATCCACTTTGAACAGGACACCAATTGCGAATTTGGGATAAACACCCCTCCAGTGCTGACACAGTAACAACATACCTAGCAGCAAACCTGAGTTTAGGGTATCCTCTACTACTGAAGTAGCAGGAGTGTTCAAAAACTCAGAAAATAAGCACCTGGAAAGGTCAGGCACACACACAACTGGACTAAATCCTAAGCCTTCAGGAGACAAGTATTATCACATGCTGACAAGCATCAAAACATTTCAGGGAAACACAGCCTCCTCTAATGGACAAAATAAGGTGCCATAAGTGGAACATAAATCAAGTGGTATAAATGAACTTTCAAAAAATTTAAAACAGGTCTTTTAAAGAATCCAAATAAAATTCAAAATTCTAAGAACCAATTTATTACTCTGAGACAAACTTAAGAGAAATGGAAGTAAATGCGAAAGTGCAAACAAAAGTATGTGTACTGGAGAATAGACCAAATGAAATTTTAAAAAACCAACAGAAGCCATCAATAGCACAGAGATGAAATAGAGGGAAAAAAAATCAATGAATTTGAAGACAAGCTATTTGAAGATACGCAGTTGGAAAAGAAAAAAGAATGAAGAGGAATGAAGAAAACATATGGGAACATGGTTTTAACAGCTTTAAAACAAAATATACAGATTCTTGAAGGTCAAGGGGGACTTGAGAATGCTAA